CAGAGGTCAGATGTTCCTCAGGGTGAGAGGTTCCTCAGAGGTCAGATGTTCCTCAGAGGTTCCTCAGGGTGAGAGGTTCCTCAGAGATCAGAGGTTCCTCAGAGGTCAGATGTTCCTCAGGGTGAGAGGTTCCTCAGAGGTCAGATGTTCCTCAGGGTGAGAGGTTCCTCAGAGGTCAGATGTTCCTCAGAGGTTCCTCAGGGTGAGAGGTTCCTCAGAGATCAGATGTTCCTCAGGGTGAGAAGTTCCTCAGAGGTCAGATGTTCCTCAGAGGTTCCTCAGGGTGAGAGGTTCCTCAGAGATCAGAGGTTCCTCAGAGATCAGAGGTTCCTCAGAGGTCAGATGTTCCTCAGGGAGAGAGGTTCCTCAGAGGTCAGATGTTCCTCAGGGTGAGAGGTTCCTCAGAGGTCAGATGTTCCTCAGGGTGAGAGGTTCCTCAGAGATCAGAGGTTCCTCAGAGGTCAGATGTTCCTCAGGGTGAGAGGTTCCTCAGAGGTCAGATGTTCCTCAGGGTGAGAGGTTCCTCAGAGGTCAGATGTTCCTCAGGGTGAGAGGTTCCTCAGAGATCAGAGGTTCCTCAGAGGTCAGATGTTCCTCAGGGTGAGAGGTTCCTCAAAGGTCAGAGGTTCCTCAGAGGTCAGATGTTCCTCAGGGTGAGAGGTTCCTCAGAGATCAGATGTTCCTCAGGGTGAGAGGTTCCTCAGAGATCAGAGGTTCCTCAGAGGTCAGATGTTCCTCAGGGTGAGAGGTTCCTCAAAGGTCAGAGGTTCCTCAGAGATCAGAGGTTCCTCAGAGGTCAGATGTTCCTCAGGGTCAGAGGTTCCTCCGAGATCAGAGGGTCCTCAGGGTCAGAGGTTCCTCAGAGGTCAGATGTTCCTCAGAGTCAGATGTTCCTCAGGGTCAGAGGTTCCTCAGAGGTCAGATGTTCCTCAGAGGTCAGAGGTTCCTCAGAGGTCAGATGTTCCTCAGGGTCAGAGGTTCCTCAGAGGTCAGATGTTCCTCAGGGTCAGAGGTTCCTCAGAGGTCAGATGTTCCTCAGGGTCAGATGTTTCTCAGGGTCAGAGGTTCCTCAGAGGTCAGATGTTCCTCAGGGTCAGATGTTCCTCAGGGTGAGAGGTTCCTCAGAGGTCAGATGTTCCTCAGGGTCAGATGTTCCTCAGGGTCAGAGGTTCCTCAGAGGTCAGATGTTCCTCAGTGTCAGATGTTCCTCAGGGTGAGAGGTTCCTCAGAGGTCAGATGTTCCTCAGGGTCAGAGGTTCTTCAGAGGTCAGAGGTTCCTCAGAGGTCAGAGGTTCCTCAGGGTCAGATGTGAGACTGCAGACTGTGGTTCCTCTAACAAAGGTCCACCCGGGTTCTCCGGCTCTTGTGGTCTTCTGTGTATTATATTATATTTATATCTTTGTACAGTATGTCAGGAGACAGTGTGGGAGGCCTTCAAGGTGTTCTGGGACCAGCTCCCGGAGCGGGACCAGTACCAGGACCTGGTTTCTCGCTGTTTGGACGGGTCCATTAGCACCAGTGACATCGGCAGAGAGTTCAGCCAATCAGAGCGCCACGCCCAGCTCATCAGGAGCGTGTTTCAGAGACTGCAGCCGGCGGCCGCCCTGAACAGGTCTGCGCTCATTCATCTCTTTGTTTAGATACAGGATCACCCGGTGTCCTTTAACGAAGGCTTTAACAATAACACTCCTTATATAACACAGTATATAATGACGGTGTGTTTCTGCTGCAGGGCGTCCAGCTCCTCAGCTCCTCCTCCATGCAGGTACTCTCACACATACTTTATATACATGGAAATATATGTATAGTTATATATAACAATAAATCAGTCTAAAATAAATACAAACATATTCTCCACATGAGCTACTTTATTTCTGTAATTTAAATACATGATTCAGTGTATCAATACCCTCCTCTGTAGACTTAAATACTTGTCTCTCTGCAGCTCAGAGTCCAGAGGGGTGCACAGCGGGGGGGCGGCAGGTAAGCTCACAGGAAGCTACCCCTTCACAATAAAAGCCTTCATGGAAACTGCTTCTATCGATCCGTCTTCTTCTCACTGACACAACATCTGCTCTTTACAGAGGAAGACGTCAGAACCACCGGGTCCGGGCTCTCCCCTGAAGAGGTTCTCCCAACGGACTCTGGACCTGAAGACCTCCAGGAGACTTCAGAGGGTCCAGAGGTGGTGGTCACTGACACCGAGGGTCTTCCTGAGTCTGAAAAGGTCCAGGATTATTCTGTGGAGATTCAGGATGTGTCCCCAGAAGGCGAGGAGCCGCCCTCAGAGGTAATGGTTCAGGAGGTACTCACACAAGCTACCACTGTAGTTCTTACGAAGCCCACCACAGAACCAGAGTCAGTGACCCTGGAGACAAATCCTATCCTGGACCCAGAACCCAAAGACAGTTCTTTGGGTATCACGAGGGATGTACCATCAACGCAGGAGGTTGAAGACGAGGATCTACCAGAGACACCTGAATCAGTTGAGGAGGGAACTCTTGCAGAACCAGAAGACGATCCTTTAGAGAACGAGGTAGATGAATCAGAAGAAGATCATTTAGAGACCGTGATCGAAGAACCAGAAGAAGAAGCAGAGGTTCCTTCCCAGGCCTCCTTTCTGACCACGGACCGGACCATAGAAGAAGTCAGTGAAGCACCAGAAGACCAGCTGAGTTCCGGAGTTACCTCTGACCCGTTCGTCCTGATCCTACAAGAAGATGAAGACGCCACGGTGGAACCTGAAGAAGATCTGGTCTTAATAGAAGAAGTTACCAAAGAGTACGCAGAGGTGATTCCAACTACGGCAGGCCTACCAGCAAAAGAAGAAGAACCACCTCCGGGAACAGCTGCTGTAGAAGATCCGGTAAAAGAACTGGCTGAAGAAACTGAAATCACTGAAGTACCAGCACAAGAAGTGGTTCATGTAGAAGATACAGGACTCGTAGAAGAAGCAGAACTCGTAGAAGATAAGGAGCCTCGAGGAGAACCAACAGAAGAAGACGGACTAGTAGAAATTGCAGAAGAGACAGTACCTACAAGAGGTATCACACAAGAACATTCGGGAGAAGAAGTTGGTGAACCCGAACCAGAAAGATCCAAACCAGAAGTTGCTGAGGAAGCGGTCTCAGAGAGTCTCCTCTTGACAGAACCAGATGTACCAGAGCCAGAAGACCCTGAGGAAGAACCAGAGTCTGTCCCTGAGGAAGAACCAGAGTATGTCCCTGAGGAAGAACCAGAGTCTGTCCCTGAGGAAGAACCAGAGTCTGTCCCTGAAGAAGAACCAGAGTCTGTCCCTGAGGAAGAACCAGAGTCTGTCCCTGGGGAAGAACCAGAGTCTGTCCCTGAGGAAGAACCAGAGTCTGTCCCTGAGGAGGAACCAGAGTCTGTCCCTGAGGAAGAGGTGGTCCAAGAGGGTCCGAGTGAAATATCTCCAGAAGTCGGGACTCCCACCGGAGCAGGAACCGCAGAACCTGAGGATCCGGTCCTGGAGGAGGTACCTGTGGAGGTCCTACCTGAGGGCCCCCTGGTGGAGGTCCCTACAGAGAACACCCCCGGCCCCCTGGTAGAGGTCCCTGCTGAGAAGGTGGAAGCCACCACCAAGTACGTGGTTGAGTACAACAACGGGAACTTCCCGGCCCTGACGGAGCGGCCCCTGGACCTGGACGGGTTTGGGAACAGCTTTGGTCTGGAAGATGAGGACTCGGTGAGTAAACTTGGCCCCCGAACAAACCCTCATCTGGTTCTAGTTCTGACGTCCTGTCTGGTTTCAGATCGGGAACGAGATAGACGGCACCCTGCTGTGGCCCCCGAGGGCCCTGAAGGAGCAGGTGGTGGAGCTGAGCCTCAAACTGAGAGGAGAGACCTTCAGTGACGCCCTGAGGGACCCGAGCAGCACCCAGTACCAGCTGCTGGACCGCCACTTCATCCGCAGGGTGAATACTATAATCTATTATACTCTAACACAGTGGTTCCCAACCTGGGGGGTGCCAAAGATCGCAGGGGGGGGCGCCAGGCCTCAGATGATTTGAGGCCAAATATCATATATATTTTTTTTTAACATATAATTGTAACGCAATACATGATTGTCACTAAAAGCCTTGTCTCTACAATAAAATATAAAAAATAATTGATTAATTAATTTGAATAAAAACTCAAGTTAGTATTAAAGGCATAAAAAGACATTTATAATTCTTTCTTTAATAGAAATGTTTCTTCTGCCCGTAAAGTGTCCAAACCGGGCTTTTCTGGATAAGCACATTTTCAAAACTGGAGGGGGCTCTTGGGAAAAAAGGTTGGGAACCCCTGCTCTAACACACTCGGGCCCTCCTTACTGTATGATGTCTCCGGGTTCAGCAGACATGGGGGTCCCTTTGTTTCACATCTTTCTTGTGCATCTGGTTTTATTGGTTCTTTTTTAATTCATATCATTTGGTCTCTTTGTTTGTCTTGTTGTTTGCATCTGTTTTGAATCTCTCTGTGTAGAGGTGTTGTTCCGGACCGTAGTTCTGTGTTGGGGTTCTGGAGGTGTTACCCAGTGGGACTCTGTGGTTCAGGAGGTGTTTCCCAGTGGGACTCTGTGGTTCAGGAGGTGTTTCCCAGTAGGACTCTGTGGTTCTAGAGGTGTTTCCCAGTAGGACTCTGTGGTTCTGTCTGTGGTTCTGGAGGTGTTTCCCAGTAGGACTCTGTGGTTCTGGAGGTGTTTCCCAGTAGGACTCTGTGGTTCTGTCTGTGGTTCTGGAGGTGTTTCCCAGTAGGACTCTGTGGTTCTGGAGGTGTTTCCCAGTAGGACTCTGTGGTCCTGTCTGTGGTTCTGGAGGTGTTTCCCAGTAGGACTCTGTGGTCCAGGAGGTGTTTCCCAGTAGGACTCTGTGGTTCAGGAGGTGTTTCCCAGTAGGACTCTGTGGTTCTAGAGGTGTTTCCCAGTAGGACTCTGTGGTTCTAGAGGTGTTTCCCAGTAGGACTCTGTGGTTCTGGAGGTGTTTCCCAGTAGGACTCTGTGGTTCTGGAGGTGTTTCCCAGTAGGACTCTGTGGTTCTGGAGGTGTTTCCCAGTAGGACTCTGTGGTTCTGGAGGTGTTTCCCAGTAGGACTCTGTGGTTCTGGAGGTGTTTCCCAGTAGGACTCTGTGGTTCTAGAGGTGTTTCCCAGTAGGACTCTGTGGTTCTAGAGGTGTTTCCCAGTAGGACTCTGTGGTTCTAGAGGTGTTTCCCAGTAGGACTCTGTGGTTCTGGAGGTGTTTCCCAGTAGGACTCTGTGGTTCTGGAGGTGTTTCCCAGTAGGACTCTGTGGTTCTGGAGGTGTTACCCAGTGGGACTCTGTGGTTCAGGAGGTGTTTCCCAGTAGGACTCTGTGGTTCTAGAGGTGTTTCCCAGTAGGACTCTGTGGTTCTGTCTGTGGTTCTGGAGGTGTTTCCCAGTAGGACTCTGTGGTTCTGGAGGTGTTTCCCAGTAGGACTCTGTGGTTCTGTCTGTGGTTCTGGAGGTGTTTCCCAGTACGACTCTGTCTGTGGTTCTGGAGGTGTTTCCCAGTAGGACTCTGTGGTTCTGGAGGTGTTTCCCAGTAGGACTCTGTGGTTCTGTCTGTGGTTCTGGAGGTGTTTCCCAGTAGGACTCTGTGGTTCTGGAGGTGTTTCCCAGTAGGACTCTGTGGTCCTGTCTGTGGTTCTGGAGGTGTTTCCCAGTAGGACTCTGTGGTCCAGGAGGTGTTTCCCAGTAGGACTCTGTGGTTCTAGAGGTGTTTCCCAGTAGGACTCTGTGGTTCTAGAGGTGTTTCCCAGTAGGACTCTGTGGTTCTGTCTGTGGTTCTGGAGGTGTTTCCCAGTAGGACTCTGTGGTTCTGTCTGTGGTTCTGGAGGTGTTTCCCAGTAGGACTCTGTGGTTCTAGAGGTGTTTCCCAGTAGGACTCTGTGGTTCTGGAGGTGTATCCCAGTAGGACTCTGTGGTTCTGGAGGTGTTTCCCAGTAGGACTCTGTGGTCCTGTCTGTGGTTCTGGAGGTGTTTCCCAGTAGGACTCTGTGGTCCAGGAGGTGTTTCCCAGTAGGACTCTGTGGTTCTAGAGGTGTTTCCCAGTAGGACTCTGTGGTTAGGTTCCCTGGGTCTGTCTGTGGTTCTGGAGGTGTTTCCCAGTAGGACTCTGTGGTTCTGTCTGTGGTTCTGGAGGTGTTTCCCAGTAGGACTCTGTGGTTCTAGAGGTGTTTCCCAGTAGGACTCTGTGGTTCTGGAGGTGTATCCCAGTAGGACTCTGTGGTTCTGGAGGTGTTTCCCAGTAGGACTCTGTGGTCCAGGAGGTGTTTCCCAGTAGGACTCTGTGGTTCAGGAGGTGTTTCCCAGTAGGACTCTGTGGTTCTGGAGGTGTTTCCCAGTAGGACTCTATGGTTCTAGAGGTGTTTCCCAGTAGGACTCTGTGGTTCTAGAGGTGTTTCCCAGTAGGACTCTGTGGTTCTGGAGGTGTTTCCCAGTAGGACTCTGTGGTTCTAGAGGTGTTTCCCAGTAGGACTCTGTGGTTCTAGAGGTGTTTCCCAGTAGGACTCTGTGGTTCTGGAGGTGTTTCCCAGTAGGACTCTGTGGTTCTGGAGGTGTTTCCCAGTAGGACTCTGTGGTTCTGGAGGTGTTTCCCAGTAGGACTCTGTGGTTCTAGAGGTGTTTCCCAGTAGGACTCTGTGGTTCTAGAGGTGTTTCCCAGTAGGACTCTGTGGTTCTAGAGGTGTTTCCCAGTAGGACTCTGTGGTTCTAGAGGTGTTTCCCAGTAGGACTCTGTGGTTCTGGAGGTGTTTCCCAGTAGGACTCTGTGGTTCTGGAGGTGTTTCCCAGTAGGACTCTGTGGTTCTAGAGGTGTTTCCCAGTAGGACTCTGTGGTTCTGGAGGTGTTTCCCAGTAGGACTCTGTGGTTCTGGAGGTGTTTCCCAGTAGGACTCTGTGGTTCTAGAGGTGTTTCCCAGTAGGACTCTGTGGTTCTAGAGGTGTTTCCCAGTAGGACTCTGTGGTTCTAGAGGTGTTTCCCAGTAGGACTCTGTGGTTCTGGAGGTGTATCCCAGTAGGACTCTGTGGTTCTAGAGGTGTTTCCCAGTAGGACTCTGTGGTTCTGGAGGTGTATCCCAGTAGGACTCTGTGGTTCTAGAGGTGTTTCCCAGTAAGACTCTGTGGTTCTAGAGGTGTTTCCCAGTAGGACTCTGTGGTTCTGGAGGTGTATCCCAGTAGGACTCTGTGGTTCTAGAGGTGTTTCCCAGTAGGACTCTGTGGTTCTGTGGTTCTGCAGACTCAGCTCTGGTTCTGTTTCCTCTGAGTCTGGAACCAGGAACCTCTGTATGTTCTGCTCAGGGTTCACTGGTGCTGTTCAGTGGGTCATCAGCAGAACCACACACATACGGCCTTTTTAAAACCCCTGATTTAAAACCTGTGTGTTTCAGATCCAGGATGCGTTGGAGCGGCTGCCGGGCTTCAGGAGCGTCCGCGTGGTGGAGTTCAGGTGCGGCTGGTTTTACGTATTTACCACTGTTTAAGACACACGCAGAAGATGTTTGAATATCAAAGTCTTTATCTTATAAATGATTTGTGTCCGCAGGCCGCAGAAGGACCTGGAGCGGTGAGTCTGATTAACTCCAGTAATGTGTTTCCTCTCTAAGATCTAACATCACTTTTGGTTCTGACTTCCTGAAGAACCTGTGGTTTCCCCCTTCCTGTCAAATCCCCCCTGTAATCCCCTGTAACGCAGTTAGCGTCAGTTAGCATCAGTCTGCTCTGTGTGATACACCTCTGCAGGATTACACCAGGCTTTACAACAACCCCCCCTCACTACTGAACGCTTTAAGAGTTACGACGGTCAAGCTGCCCCCCCCCCCTTTCCAGGAAAGTGCCCCGCCCCCTTTATCTCACCTGAACCGGAGAGAAAGTCCAGAAACCTGCTGTCTGTCTGCAGGATTACAGGGGGGGAAGTACTATAATATACTGAGTGTATATATAAATATATACTGTATATATATACTGTGTATATATAGTGTATATATACTGAGTGTGTATTATACTATTATATATTTCTGACATTTATAAAGTATATTAGAGACATTGTTTAAATATTTTTTTTCTTGATTTAAAAAAAAAATTACATCACATTGCATTTAGCTGAGGCTTTTATCCAAAGCGACTTACAATAAGTACATTCGACCAGGAAAACACAACCTTGAAGAAAACAGAATCACAAAGTACATCAGGTTTCATAGAGCCAAACATTTCAAGTGCTGCTCAACTGGCTTTAGGTAAGCCAGTCCTTTATTAGTATATAAGTGCTTTGTTAATAGTTCTATCGCTCGAAGTGGAGTCGAAAGAGATGAGTTTTCAGTCTGGAAGGTGTGTAAGCTTTCTGCTGTCCTGATGTCAATGGGGAGCTCATTCCACCATCTTGGAGCCAGGATAGCAAACTCACGTGTTTCTGCTGATGGGAACTTGGGTCCCCCTTCGCAGTGCGGGTGCAGCGAGTCGTTTGGCTGATGCAGAAAAAAAAAATTGAAGAACATTTTTGAAAAAACATTTCAACATTTTTCACACATATAAATTAAAACGTTTTTTTCATATTTTATTTATATTTGTTATTTATTTCGGACACTTGGGTCTTGGGTTTCTGGTGTTAGTCTGGGGGTTCCGGTGTTAGTCTGGTGTTAGTCTGGGGGTTCCGGTGTTAGTCTGGGGGTTCTGGTGTTAGTCTGGTGTTAGTCTAGGGGTTCCAGTGTTAGTCTGGGGGTTCTGGTGTTAGTCTGGGGGTTCCGGTGTTAGTCTGGGGGTTCTGGTGTTAGTTTAGGGGTTCCGTGTTAGTCTGGTGTTAGTCTGGGGGTTCCGGTGTTAGTCTGGTGTTAGTCTGGGGGTTCCGGTGTTAGTCTGGTGTTAGTCTGAGGGTTCCGGTGTTAGTCTGGGGGTTCTGGTGTTAGTCTGGGGGTTCCAGTGTTAGTCTGGGGGTTCCGGTGTTAGTCTGGGGGTTCCGGTGTTAGTCTGGTGTTAGTCTGGGGGTTCTGGTGTTAGTCTGGGGGTTCCAGTGTTAGTCTGGGGGTTCTGGTGTTAGTCTGGGGGTTCCGGTGTTAGTCTGGTGTTAGTCTGGGGGTTCTGGTGTTAGTCTGGGGGTTCCAGTGTTAGTCTGGGGGTTCTGGTGTTAGTCTGGGAGTTCTGGTGTTAGTCTGGGGGTTCCGGTGTTAGTCTGGGGGTTCTGGTGTTAGTCTGGGGGTTCCAGTGTTAGTCTGAAGGTTCTGGTGTTAGTTTGGGGGTTCCGGTGTTAGTCTGGTGTTAGTCTGGGGGTTCCGGTGTTAGTCTGGTGTTAGTCTGGGGGTTCCGGTGTTAGTCTGGTGTTAGTCTGGGGGTTCCGGTGTTAGTCTGGGGGTTCTGGTGTTAGTCTGGGGGTTCCAGTGTTGGTCTGGGGGTTCCGGTGTTAGTCTGGGGGTTCCGGTGTTAGTCTGGTGTTAGTCTGGGGGTTCCAGTGTTAGTCTGGGGGTTCTGGTGTTAGTTTGGGGGTTCCAGTGTTAGTCTGGGGTTCCAGTGTTAGTCTGGGGGTTCCGGTGTTAGTCTGGTGTTAGTCTGGGGGTTCCAGTGTTAGTCTGGGGGTTCTGGTGTTAGTCTGGGGGTTGTGTTATTCTGGTGTTAGTCTGGGGGTTCCGGTGTTAGTCTGGTGTTAGTCTGGGGGTTCTGGTGTTAGTCTGGGGGTTCTGGTGTTAGTCTGGGGGTTCCGGTGTTAGTCTGGTGTTAGTCTGGGGGTTCTGGTGTTAGTCTGGGGGTTCCAGTGTTAGTCTGGGGGTTCTGGTGTTAGTCTGGGGGTTCCGGTGTTAGTCTGGTGTTAGTCTGGGGGTTCTGGTGTTAGTCTGGGGGGTTCCAGTGTTAGTCTGGGGGTTCTGGTGTTAGTCTGGGGGGTTCCGGTGTTAGTCTGGTGTTAGTCTGGGGGTTCTGGTGTTAGTCTGAGGGGTTCTGGTGTTAGTCTGGGGGTTCCGGTGTTATTCTGGTGTTAGTCTGGGGGTTCCGGTGTTAGTCTGGTGTTAGTCTGGGGGGTTCTGGTGTTAGTCTGGGGGTTCCAGTGTTAGTCTGGGGGGTTCTGGTGTTAGTCTGGGGGTTCCGGTGTTAGTCTGGTGTTAGTCTGGGGGTTCTGGTGTTAGTCTGGGGGTTCCAGTGTTAGTCTGGGGGTTCTGGTGTTAGTCTGGGGGTTCCGGTGTTAGTCTGGGGGTTCCGGTGTTAGTCTGGTGTTAGTCTGGGGGTTCTGGTGTTAGTATCAGGGGTCTGGTATTACATCTCTTTTTCTCACAGGGGTCTGGTGGTCCTGGTCCTGTACTCCATCACCCTGGAGGTGGACGGCAGCAGTGGGGTGAACAACGCGACCCTGGACTTCATCTCTCTGCAGAACAACCTGGTGGAGAAGAACTACCCAGGGGCCGCTGAGCAACCCACCGTGGTCTACACCATCACCGACTTCAGGAACTACATCACTGAGGCACTGCACAAAGACGGCTTCCTGGGCAACAGCAGCCAGGAGGCGTCCCAAACCGGTACGTAGTTCTGGTTTCCTGTAGTCCAGCTTTCTTGTAGTGCAGCTTTCCTGTAGTCCAGCTTTCCTGTAGTCCAGCTTTCCTGTAGTCCAGGTTTCTTGTAGTTCAGCTTTCCTGTAGTCCAGCTTTCCTGCAGTCCAGCTTTCCTGTAGTCCATCTTTCCTGTAGTCTAGATTTCCTGTAGTCCAGGTTTCCTGTAGTTCAGCTTTCCTGTAGTCCAGCTTTCCTGTAGTCCAGGTTTCCTGTAGTTCAGCTTTCCTGTAGTCCAGCTTTCCTGCAGTCCAGCTTTCCTGTAGTTCAGCTTTCCTGTAGTCCAGGTTTCCTGTAGTTCAGCTTTCCTGTAGTCCAGCTTTCCTGTAGTCCAGCTTTCCTGTAGTCCAGGTTTCCTGTAGTCCAGCTTTCCTGTAGTCCATCTTTCCTGTAGTCCAGGTTTCCTGTAGTCCAGGTTTCCTGTAGTTCAGCTTTCCTGTAGTCCAGCTTTCCTGTAGTCCATCTTTCCTTCAGTTAATCTTTCCTGTAGTCCAGGTTTCCTGTAGTCCATCTTTCCTGTAGTCCAGCTTTTCTGTAGTCCAGCTTTCCTGTAGTCCAGCTTTCCTGTAGTCCATCTTTCCTTCAGTCAATCTTTCCTGTAGTCCAGGTTTCCTGTAGTCCATCTTTCCTGTAGTCCAGGTTTCCTGTAGTCCAGTTTTCCTGTAGTCCATGTTTCCTGTAGTCCGGCTTTCCTGTAGTCCGGGTTTCCTGTAGTCCGGCTTTCCTGTAGTCCGGGTTTCCTGTAGTCCGGGATTCCTGTAGTCCAGCTTTCCTGTAGTCCATCTGTCCTGTAGTCCAGGTTTCCTGTAGTCCAGCTTTCCTGTAGTCCATCTTTCCTTCAGTCAATCTTTCCTGTAGTCCAGGTTTCCTGTAGTCCATCTTTCCTGTAGTCCAGCTTTCCTGTAGTCCAGCTTTCCTGTAGTCCAGGTTTCCTGTAGTCCATGTTTCCTGTAGTCCGGCTTTCCTGTAGTCCGGGTTTCCTGTAGTCCGGCTTTCCTGTAGTCCGGGTTTCCTGTAGTCCGGGATTCCTGTAGTCCAGCTTTCCTGTAGTCCATCTGTCCTGTAGTCCAGCTTTCCTGTAGTCCAGCTTTCCTGCAGTCCAGGTTTCCTGTAGTCCATGTTTCCTGTAGTCCGGCTTTCCTGTAGTCCGGGTTTCCTGTAGTCCATCTTTCCTGTAGTCCAGCTTACCTGTAGTCCAGCTTTCCTGTAGTCCAGCTTTCCTGTAGCTCTGGTTTCCTGTAGTCCAGTTTTCCTGTAGTCCAGCTTTCCTGTAGTCCAGGTATCCTGTAGTCCAGGTTTCCTGTAGTCCATCTTTCCTGTAGTCCGGCTTTCCTGTAGTCCGGGTTTCCTGGTGTCCGGGTTTCCTGTAGTCCATCTTTCCTGTAGTCCAGCTTTCCTGTAGTGCAGCTTTCCTGTAGTCCATCTTTCCTGTAGTCCAGCTTTCCTGTAGTCCAGCTTTCCTGTAGTGCAGCGTTCCTGTAGTCCATCTTTCCTGTAGTCCAGCTTTCCTGTAGTCCAGCTTTCCTGTAGTCCGGGTTTCCTGTAGTCCAGGTTTCCTGTAGTCCATCTTTCCTGTAGTCCAGCTTTCCTGTAGTGCAGCTTTCCTGTAGTCCATCTTTCCTGTAGTCCAGCTTTCCTGTAGTCCAGCTTTCCTGTAGTGCAGCGTTCCTGTAGTCCAGGTTTCCTGTAGTCCGGCTTTCCTGTAGCCAGGTTTCCTGTAGTCCATCTTTCCTGTAGTCAGCGTTCCTGTAGTCCATCTTTCCTGTGGTCCATCTTTCCTGTAGTCCATCTTTCCTGTAGTCCAGCTTTCCTGCAGTCCAGGTTTCCTGTAGTCCAGGTTTCCTGTAGTCCATCTTTCCTGTAGTGCAGCGTTCCTGTAGTCCTGTGGTCCAGCTTTCCTGTAGTCCAGTAGTCCAGCTTTCCTGTAGTCCAGCGTTCCTGTAGGCCAGGTTTCCTGTAGTCCATCTTTTCTGTAGTCCATCTTTCCTGTAGTCCAGCGTTCCTGTAGGCCAGGTTTCCTGTAGTCCAGGTTTCCTGTAGTCCGGGTTTCCTGTAGTCCGGCTTTCCTGTAGTCCAGCTTTCCTGTAGTCCATCTTTCCTGTAGTCCGGCTTTCCTGTAGTCCATCTTTCCTGTAGTCCAGCTTTCCTGTAGTGCAGGTTTCCTGTAGTCCAGGTTTCCTGTAGTCCATCTTTCCTGTAGTCCAGCTTTCCTGTAGTCCAGGTTTCCTGTAGTCCAGCTTTCCTGTAGTTCTGGTTTCCTGTAGTTCTGGTTTCCTGTCATTCTGGTTTCCTGTAGTTCTGGTTTCCTGTAGTCCAGGTTTCCCGCAGTCCAGGTTTCCTGCAGTTCAGGTTTCCTGTAGTTCTGGTTTCCTGTAGTCCTGGTTTCCTGTAGTCCAGGTTTCCTGTAGTCCAGGTTTCCTGTAGTTCTGGTTTCCTGCATCCCACACCAGTATATGGTTCAGGTTTCTACGTCCTGTGTCAGTCCATCAGTGTGGTCACAGGTCTTTTCTCTGTCCCCACAGCGGAGAACTCGTTACCGGCGGTGAAGACCACCAGCCGCCCGGAGGCTTTCCATAGCATGGTGGGTTTATAGAAATGTGAATATGTAATAAACATAGAAACGTTTAATGTATATATATATAATGTATGTATATTTATATATATATATATATGATATAATATATATATAATATATATATATATGATATAATATTATATATATAAAAATGATATAATATTATATATATATATATAATATATATATAATATTATATATATAATATTATTATATATATTCCAGGATAGCGTCCTGGCTGCAGAGAAGCCTCCGGACGCTCCGCTGCACGAGGCCGACCTCAGCAAAGATGACTTCTTATTCGACCCGTGGAAAGGCGCGGGGGTCGGGTCCAGTGAGAATGACGTCTTCCTATTGGACGAGAGCACGAAGCCCGTCGGACTGCGCAAAGACGGTGAGAAACATCGGCACTTAAACTGATAATCAAAACATGTATTCGTCTTGTATTTTGAAGGGGACCCCCTCACTGAGCACTTCCTGTTTACAGATCTTTATACGTCTTTTATTTTGAAGGGGACCCCCTCACTGAGCACTTCCTGTTTACAGATTTGTATACGTCTTTTATTTTGAAGGGGACCCCCTCAATGAGCACTTCCTGTGTTTACAGATCTTTATAACTCTTTTATTTTGAAGGGGACCCCCTCACTCAGCACTTCCTGTTTACAGATCTTTACAAGTCTTTTATTTTGAAGGGGACCCCCTCACTGAGCACTTCCTGTTTACAGATCTTTATACGTCTTTTATTTTGAAGGGGACCCCCTCAATGAGCACTTCCTGCGTTTACAGATCTTTATAAGTCTTTTATTTTGAATGGGACCCCCTCACTCAGCACTTCCTGTTTACAGATCTTTATAAGTCTTTTATTTTGAAGGGGACCCCCTCACTGAGCACTTCCTGTTTACAGATGGAGGTTTAGAGGCGGAGGGTTTCCTCCTCAGTAACGCCTCGTCACCGACTCTGAAACCTCAGACTGATGAAGGATCAGGTTCTGGATCCTCTGGAGGCGGACCTGGGTCTGACCTCTGGTCCTGTCCCCCCCAGCCTGTCTCTGAGGGGGGAGGCAGCATGGAGGTCCTCCCGCCGCCGGACCTGGAGGACGAGGAAGACGAGGAGGAGGAAGAGAAACAGGAAGTTATCACCAAAGCTCCTCCTCTAAAGACAACTGCTGCTCCAGCTGTGGAAGGAAGCCCGGACCCGGACCTGGACCTGGACCTGGTAACGCCTCACATCAGCACCAACCCGCGGTTCTCCACCACCCCCAAGGCCCCGGTGTTCTGGCCTCAGGCGACGCTGACCGTGGAACTGAAAGAGGCGTCCGGCATCTTCGATGACATCGTCTTCAACGGGAATTCCGTCACCGGGTCTCCGGACCTCCAGGACCATCAGGACCATCAGGACCATCAGGACCATCAGGACCATCAGGACTGGACTCTGGAGGCTCCGGTCTTTGCAGGACCAACAGTGGTCTATCTCTCTGACACCACAGAAGAAGAAGCAGATGTGGAGCCTACAGATGGGTCTACATCAGAAGAAGAAGTCTTTGAGAAACAGGAAGTCCCTGAAGAAGAAGAGTCCAGCAGCGGATCAGAAGTGGAGTTTGTCTCAGAACTGGACCCTCTGCTCCCAGGACCCGGGCCCTCTGATGCGGTGGAGGTTCTGGAGGAGCAGCACCTCAGCACCGCTGACCCGGTAACTCTCGTTCCGCCGGTCTTCCTCCCGGAGGAGGACCTGGTGGAGGACGAGGTGATGGTCGTCTCCTCGTCTCCACCCTCGTCCTCCGTCAGCATCGCCCTCTCTCCGGAGAAAGACTCTCCGTTCACCCGGGTCTCGGACTCGGAGCCGGAGGACGAGGAGGTGCTGCATCGTCAGATCCAAACCCACGAAGAAGAAAGTCCAAGCAGCGCCCCGGCAGCAGGTGGGTTTGTTTACGTTTTCCCCGGGGTCTACTTCCTGTTTACATTCAGAATAAGGGTCTGGTTTCATAGTTTACTGCTGATGGTCTGAGCAGACTTTAGCTAACTTAGCATACTGTGCTACCTGTGAGCTACAATGGCAGCTGAATTTAAACCACTGTGGTCTGATGAACTAAAACAATCATTAGTTTCTATTCATTGAATCTTTCCCTAAAGTCCAGGCAACGCGTTAATAAAGGAGGGTCCAGGTTTCTCTCAGTTTGTAACATATTATGGTACCTTTGAACCTTTGATCTGGTCCAGGTGTTCCTGGTCTGCTGCCGGCGCTCCTCCATGAATCAGAAGACGTAGGAACCCTCCGAACATCGCCTTCCTCTCCACAGGAGGTTCCCCCCCCCTCTCCACAGGAGGTCCCCCCCCCCTCGGAGCAGGTCTTCTCCGACTCCCCGAGCTTTGACGTCTTCCCGCTCAGTGTTATTGATCCTGAAGGAGACGGCAGTGGTTCCTCCAGTGGGGCAGAGATGGAGGTTCCCACCCCCACGGCGCACCCTGCTGGCCGGGCTCTCACGGTGTTCTTCAGCCTGAGGGTCACCAACATGGCCTTTTCCAGTGATCTGTTCAACAAGAGCTCCTCCGAGTACAGATCTCTGGAGCAGCGCTTCACCCAGCTGGTGAGGAACTCAGTTATTAACTACTAACCTGTATGAGGTCATCACAACAAGACCCTGTCCCTCAGCTGGTTCTGGACTGATATTAGACTCATAAAGACTCTGTCCCTCAGCTGGTTCTGGACTGATATTAGACTCACAAAGACCCTGTCCCTCAGCTGGTCCTGGACTGATATTAGAGACATAAAGACCCTGTCCCTCAGCTGGTCCTGGACTGATATCAGACTCATAAAGACCCTGTCCCTCAGCTGGTTCTGGACTGATATCAGACTCATAAAGACCCTGTCCCTCAGCTGATTCTGGACTGATATCAGACTCATAAAGACCCTGTCCCTCAGCTGGTTCTGGACTGATATTAGACTCATAAAGACCCTGTCCCTCAGATGGTTCTGGACTGATATCAGACTCATAAAGACCTTGTCCCTCAGCTGGTTCTGGACTGATATCAGACTCATAAAGACCTTGTCCCTCAGCTGGTTCTGGACTGATATCAGACTCATAAAGACCCTGTCCTCCAGCTGGTTCTGGACTGATATCAGACTCATAAAGACCCTGTCCCTCAGCTGGTTCTGGACTGATATTAGACTCCTAAAGACCCTGTTCCTCAGCTGGTTCTGGACTGATATCAGACTCATAAAGACCCTGTCCCTCAGCTGGTTCTGGACAGATATAAGACTCATAAAGACCTTGTCCCTCAGCTGGTTCTGGACTGATATCAGACTCATAAAGACCCTGTCCCTCAGCTGGTTCTGGACTGATATCAGACTCATAAAGACGCTGTCCCTCAGCTGATTCTGGACTGATATCAAACTCATAAAGACCCTGTCCCTCAGCTGGTTCTAGACTGATATAAGACTCATAAAGACCCTGTCCCTCATCTGGTTCTGTTATAAAGACCCTTTCTCTGTCCCTCAGCTGGTTCTGTTCTAAAGACCCTGTCCCTGTCCCTCAGCTGGTCCCCTACCTGCAGACCAACCTGCACCACTTTAAGAACCTGGAGGTTCTGAACTTCAGGAATGGCAGCGTAGTGGTGAACAGTCGGATGGTGTTCGGACGCCCGGTGTCTCCAGGCGTCTCCAGTGTCGTTCATCTGGTCCTCGAAGACTTCGCCAACGCTGCCTACCAGACCCTGAACCTGGACATCGACAAGTACTCTCTGGACGTGGAGGCCGGTGGGGACGGGCTGTAGATATACACACACACACATATATATATACTTGTTTTATTGTGTTGATTTATCAGAGAGTATTTATAGTTAGTCTGCTGAGCGTAATCTGTCTGAGCCAATCACAGCAGCTCCTGGTAATCCTTCTTCTTCTCTGGTCTCTGATCTTCTTCTTCTCTGGTTCCAGGTGAGCGTGCTGACCCGTGTAAGTTTCAGGCGTGTAATGAGTTTTCTCGCTGCGTGGTGAACCGCTGGTCTGGCGAGGCGGAGTGTGTGTGCGCCGCGGGCTACGTTAGCGTGGACGGGCTGCCGTGTCAGAGCGTCTGCGACGTGACGCACGACTTCTGCCTGAACGACGGGAAGTGTGACGTCCAGCCAGGGAAGGGCGCCATCTGCAGGTGGGAGGCGGCACTACACTCTTTAAATATCACTTTATTATTAAATACATTCACCTTAGACCAGTGGTTCTCAAACTGTTTCTTTGGAGAAGAAGCCTGACTATTTGTGTCAGGCCCCCTGTTAGAGATTTAAAGGGATATCTGGTCCGCTTTTCAAATCTCCGCGCGTCCCTATCAAGCTGGTTAATACAGGAAGGAATCCAGAGCTACCAAGTAAACAATAATCTACTTTAATGGTAATATGACAATACAATACAATCAATACAGTACAAATTCAACACAGTTAATCTTTGGGATCCCGAATTTACCTGCACGTGAGCCAGCCAGAGGAAAGAGGCTGAACACCACGTGTGTCTGTGTTTATACTCTTTGACAATGGGAGGAGTTATCAGATCCTCCCATTTGGACCTCCTTGATTGGCAGCCCCAAATATCCCTAACACCTTAGACCTTAGGTTTCCCCAATCACTGTAGCTAGATCTAAGTTGAATGCAACTCAAGACATGCTCTCACCTTCCCCCATCTTCCTTTGTCCTCAAAAACACATGTCAACAGGCCCCAAATCCAGCTCACAGTTTTACCCAAATTATTCCCATTTTAAGCTTATCCATAGTTTGCTAACATGAATAAATACAAATATTTCACTACAAATCCCCCTTTTTATCTCCTTCTCCAGAGATAAACTTAGACAAGGCATTTTGAAATATACCCACTGTCATTCTTTTCTACTGTGTCCGTCCCCCAAACATTGTATAAATCCATCCGAAGCTGGTATTTAGAGTACTTGAAAACTTCATGGAGACAGAACACCACTTTCCATGGCAGTGAAGGAACCATGAGGGGGCAGCTGAGTGCTAGAATCATCAGCCCCCCCCCCCCCCCCCCTCGGAGGAATAGCCCACAAGGACAGCTAATAGGGAGGGGGAGATGCGGCTTTCCCTTCACGGGTGGAACTGATCAGAGAGAAGTAGACTCCTCTGCTGCCTCGACAAGTCCCCTGTGCCGTCCTGGCTTGCCGTGTCTTTGTCCCCCCGATCCGCTGACAGCAGCTTCTGGGCTGCCTGCTAGAGAGATGTCTTCGTCTTCCTCTTCCTCTTCCTCTTCCTCTTCCTCTTCCTCCTCCTCCTCCTCCTCCTCCTCCTCCTCCTCCTCCTCCTCCTCCTCCTCCTCCTCCTCCTCCTCCTCCTCCTCCTCCTCCTCCTCCTCCTCCTCCTCCTCCTCCTCCTCCGGCCCGCTGATGGCGGCTTCCGGGTCGATGCTGTAGAGATGTCTCCAGGGTCCTGCTCCTCCAGTCCGCTGCTTCCGAGTAGTCCACGTCTGCCAGGGCCACGTCCGTCCTGATGTCGTCCCCTGGTCCTAGCAGGTGGTTTCCCCGCCGCACACTGGCTCCCGTGGTACGAGCTGTCCCCCTTTTCTCCCAGGCAGACGGCATAAGAGGTCCGCTGGGTCACTCGGTCGGGGCCGGAGAGCCTGGGGTTGAGCCACTTTGTCCTGATGACCTTCAGCCAGACGAACTCTGCTGTGTCGGCCTCGTGCTTCTCGGGTCCCCCTTTTGGCGCCAGCAACCTGTGTGGAGAAATCTGATACAACTCCCTCAAGCCTACGCTCAGCTGTTTTGACCCACTTGGAGCCTGTTGGTGAGGTGTCTTGAAACAACAGCCGTCTGTGAACAGGTTTTCTAAATTAATTGTAGACCTCCTATCTGCCAGTGCAGCTTCAGAATCTTAATACTTGGATTGTGCCAACTAAATAAGAACCCCAACATCTTTAGGTAAACTAAATAACATATTTCAATAGCTCTGAATTTCTGACAAGCATCCGTGTTTATTTTTAAATGAAATCCTATTTAAAATCTAAATATAATATGAACTGCTAATGTTTCTGGTAAAGAAACACACTAATGTTATGGATTCAAAAACAACCAAAATCACGATACTAACAAAGTGAATGATTTCCTGGTGATACTGCTTTTACCTGTCAGTGCTTAGATATTATCAAGCTGAAAAAATGAATACAGAATTCCAACAAACTGTCATCAAATGTCTTTCTATTATAACTTTAGATGAAATGTATATCCCCATAATGACCTAAACAATAAAGTCTATGGCTTTTACTTCTTTACCAGGCTAGTTACATGATGTTGTCTAAATTAAATTCTGTCTCAATACACTACTATGTTTTAGCTTTAACTGTAATATGTTCTTTCTACATTTCAAACCTCAGTTACTCTAATGTCTGTTAAACTATTACAAAATCGTTTCATTATCACAGGTCAACTTCTTTGGTATTCTATTCTGGAATTACATCTCTTACAGCAGCCCCTTGGCCACTGATTCTGTGTTACCTGTTATAATTCAAATCAATATTTAGAAACATCTCAACATTCATCAAACAGTATCTTATCCCCAGATATGGAGCAGGTTAATTACATTCAATGCTCAGTTTGAACATCTGAGTTGGGGCGGAAGGTTTCTGTCAATCCTTAAAAGAAAAATTTAAATTGTGAATTTTACAGCCATGTTGACATTTATACATTATACACACTCCCCCCTTTTACACATGAAATCATGTGTAAAAAACCCTGTAATGGGAGGGGAACAAAAACTGTCAGGTAATTAGTTAGGGACATAATGAACATTATTTACAATTTGACATCCATTATCATTATTTCCACAGCGAAACACTTCAGTGAAAAGAAGTGTTCCTCTCCGTCCTTCAGGCCTAAAAGAAACAGAATCTTCAGATTTTAGTTTTACATTTGCAAACCGCCAACTCATGTGAGAGTAAAATATAACCGGGTCACATGTGCGGTTTCCCCTTTTTGTGGAATTTTTAGGAAACCTCTCGTTTCCCTTGGAGCTCCAAAATAATATGTTAGTCCAAAAACATGCTTGGTTGGTTATTGTTTTAGAATCATGCAGTTACACTGATCACATGCCGGCATTCATTCACACTCACACTGTCTGGTTGTCATGTCAAGTTTGGTCAGCTTCACCCCAGAGTCAGTCATCCACAGTGCCTTGTCAAGTTACACTGTCGGTCAGGGTCAAAGGTCAGTTGGTCTCCGTCTTTTTTGGCCATGTGTCGTGCTCTGCAGAGACTTTGACATTTCAGCATAGGCCAGTATCCTTTGTCTACAAAAATATGATTTTCAAGATGATTCTCACTTGTCATTGGGACTTCTGCCTCCCACTTTTCCTGAAACTTGCTACAAAACTCACTTCCTTCGAGTACTACTACTACTGCAATCCATTTACACCTAATTAGTATTAAAATGTCTAATGATCTATTTCAGAAACTTGTGTACATAACTATTATCTTGAGTCAAAACATTACTAGGATCTGTGTCGCTCTGCATTTCATAGCTCATTATACTCATTTATCTTTAATTCTGGTCTACTTAAAAAACAATGTTTAACTCTTTAGCAGTGTGTGGAACCTTGGGTGTCCGAACATCCAACAATTACTCCCTCCTTTATCAAGGATGGTAATAACTATGCCACAATGGTGAAATCAATACTTTAGATTGGAATTTTATATGTGGCTTGGCACCAGCTCTCCCTTTAACATTATTAATCCAAATAAAGATTTGTCTTATAGAGCGGTTCCTAAAACTATCCTTTTAATGGTGATCAATATTGTAACCAATGAGATCGCTACTTTATTCACACGTGAATAAAAATCTCTTAAAGAATGAATTGTTAACATGATGAAAATATTGAAGAATATGGTTCTACTCTCTCAGTGTGTTTTAGGATGATTATCATTTTACTTTAATAGTTTCCTCTTTACTGCTATTTTTAATTTACCAATTTATTAATAAATCTTTCTGTCTTTACGTATTTATGAAGTTAATTCAAGTTATTTAAATGTGCGTTTTGTGAATAAGTGTGTTTATGTGTAAACTCACTCATTCCCGTTCTCCTTTCCTCCTCCCCTGGTTTTCTCAAGCCATGACCCCGGCCTCCTCACTTCTAATCGACCATGCCAACTCCTCTGATTCTGTCTTCTCTTCAGTCCATCAGCTGTTGAAACCATCCGCTGTAACTTTTTTAGGCAGCCATTGGCCCAGTCACATCTGCAGCCCCATCATGCCACTGTTGTTGCACTCCTCCTTTACAGTCTCTCTGCTGTTTTTATGGAGGGCGGATTCTGCTCTCATGTCCTGTCTGAGGGGCTGATGAGAGTATCTCTCTGTATGTCAGCATGCTGTTTGGTTCTGGATGCCACAGGTGGAGATAGTTCTGGCTGCAGTCTTGATGTAGTCTTGTTGTTGTTGTTGGTTCAGCTCTGGTTCTCTGTCTGTACGATGGAGAAGGAGGAGTCTCCTGTTGGGTTAGGTCTTTTGTCTGCTTGGAGGGTCGGGATCGAAGCCTTTCTAACTCAGAGGGGGAGTCCAGGTCTCGGTACACATTACCTATAAGAAGTCTAGCACACTGAGGTTAAATAAATCCAACCCTTTCCACTCTGTCTCTTTCTAATCATACTATCTGTCTTAGTTGTTAAATGCCATCTAAACAACATAATTAATGTCTACCTATGATATTACAAAAACTCACTCCAAAAATTGTTTCATCCATTGTTACATATTTACCCAACACAACTCTGAAATACTTACATGTTTCCAGCATCACATATTCCACACATTACGAAAAAAAAAACATCCCCATATTTTCTCTCATTTTAAATCCCACTGTTACTTCGAACAATAGTAAACCTGCAGAGCACACCAATCGGATCACAGTAATGAAATTTGAATCAAGTGTAGGCCTATGTCTACTTTCTGAACATTTATTTATATTGTCTAAATTCCTTGTCTATGATGTGCAAACAGTTCGAGTGTAAAATGTGTTTTTCACAATGTATTTACACTCTACAGATTCTTGAGTTTACTCATCTCCTGGTGCTGTCGTTGTAAAAAATGTTCAATTCCTTATTGTTTTGTACCAGTTTTCCAAAATCAGTTCTAACTGCCGTGCCGTTTCTGGAAAGGTGGCGGTACGGCTACACAATGTGTAAGAAGCTGCCAACATGTTCCTTTTTTAACTTTGATTAATATACTGGGCTATTGTCGTTGTTACTATTAACGTGCTTCCCGTCTTCAATACCGGCCAGCAATGTAATGAAAAATGTCAAGGGTGTGATACCCCCTTTCAGCCACTAGATGGCAGCAGCAGAAGTTTACAGATTAAACTCGAAGCTCGAAGCTAAACCATATAAAAATGTCAAGGGTGTGATACCCCCTTTCAGCCACTAGATGGCAGCAGCAGAAGTTTACAGACAAAGGGAAACGCTCTCCCTCGATTTAACATATAACAGACCTCTGGCTTTTAGCTTTCAGCCTTGGTCTGTTATTTAACCCCAGTTTTAAACGGCGACCCGATCTAAAATATCGTGTTTCCAGGTTTTGTCGTGCAGGAATCAAACCTCGCACCGAACAAACTGCACCGTCTCCACGCCACTCAGGAATAAACTACCTGCAGATCCGCGCCAAACTGCTCTATTTACGTTACGCAGGACTTTCCGTCTACCTGGCGATCAACGTTCACGTTTTGTATATAACTTTCCTAACATAGTAAAATATGCATTGTATATTCCATTTAAACTTTCTGGTCGTCTGGATTCTTCATCAGCTTCGTTATATCTGGCACGTCGAGGGTCACCATTTGTTAGAGATTTAAAGGGATATCTGGTCCGCTTTTCAAATCTCTGCGCGTCCCTATCAAGCTGGTTAATACAGGAAGGAATCCAGAGATACCAAGTAACCGTTAATCTACTTTAATGGTAATATGACAATCAATACAATCAATACAGTACAAATTCAATACAGTTAATCTTTGGGATCCCGAATTTACCTGCACGTGAGCCAGCCAGAGGAAAGAGGCTGAACACCGCGTGTGTGTCTGTGTTTATACTCTTTGACAATGGGAGGAGTTATCAGATCCTCCCATTTGGACCTCCTTGATTGGCAGCCCCAAATATCCCTAACACCTTAGACCAGGGGTGCCCAACCAGTCGATCGCGATCGACCGGTCGATCGCGGGGAGATTCCCAGTCGATCGCGAGATGTGTCTAAAAATAGAACAACAATATTCTGTTTTATCGTTAATGTCCTGTAACATAATCTTCCTGTGCCAGAATAATGCACTTGAACGCATCAAAGCTTTGTGATTGGCCGGCGTGACCCCATGTGTCGGGGCGTGGCTGGTGAGCAGTGGGCAGTGCACTAGTTCGCTAACGTTGTCCGTCCGTGTCAACTAGTGATGGGAATTCCGGCTCTTCTTGGTGAGCCGGATCATTTGGCTCGGCTCACCAAGAAGAGCCGGCTCTTTCGGCTCCCAAACGGCTCTTCAGTTTACCACATATTATACCTTTTAATTAAATCAAATGTAGCCCTGTTTTGACTAATGAATGATTTATATGTGTACACATATCACTTAAATTATCCAATACATCATTTGTACTGAACTAAGTATTCAAAAGTAAAAATGACATGTTTAATAAATGATTTGCTGTGGCCAAATGTTTTCATTGCATTTACAGACCCTTGTAACTCTCTGATACCACCCAATGAATGCACTGTCTTGCTTGTAGCACGCTACACAAAGCAGATAGCAACACCTATAAAAACTTAAGCATAGACATTTTAAAAAAGGGGCTACTGTATCGACATTTTAAAATTATATTTAAAGAAAAGGCCCTGACAAAACAGCAGGGCTCTATTTCAGTAACTATTAACTGTAGAAAAAAAGACAGCAACAGCTGACATCAAATCTTTGCTTAGCCTAAGGATAATCATAAATAAATAACATAATGAAAATAAATATATTGCAATGCTCAGTACAGCAACATCCAACCTTCTTTAATCATAAAAAAACATAATACAAATAAATGTATTGCAATGCTCAAAACAGCAGCATCCAACAGTCTCTAATCCATGTCACTGCATGCATGCACGGAGCGGAGCAACTGTAGCGCGGAGATCATCATATCATTCTGGCTTGTATTACTTAACAAAAACAAAAAACCGGCTCGTTCGCGGGCGCGAGCCGGCTCCAGTCGTTCACTTAAAAGAGCCGGCTCTTTCCACTCCGAGTGGGAGGATGATTATTTTTGTATCTATTCCAATTCAAAGTCCATCTGTCTCATCTGCAATGCGAGCGTGGCTTTATCGAAGAAGGGTCATTTAGGAGCGGCATTTCAAAACAGTGCACAAACGCTACGAGACGGAATTCCCTCCTTAATTCTGCCCTACGCTCCAAAAGGGGAGGGGCCTGAGAGGACAGCTAAATGCACAGCAGTCCATTTTCACCCGGCCCAACAACAAGAGCAAGGCTGCTACCAGAGCATCTTATCGTGTCAGTCACGTTCTGGCGAAACACAAGTCTTTCAAAGACGGCGAAGTTGTGAAAGAAGCATTCCTGGAGGCTACCGATGCGTAATAAAAATAACAGAAGCATTTCAACAGGTTTTTGATATGAAAAAAACTCAAGTTAGATACCGTTATTAATCAGCTGTAAGTTTGAGTTTGTTTGAACTTATTCATTATAATTATTGTACAAAATGGTATAAGAATGCAAACTTAAATTGATTATAGTCTATTATCAATTCAGGTTAAGAAGCTAGTGTTGCTTGCATCCTATTTTAAAAAGGCATTTATTTTTATAATCTACTAAAATGCAACAAAAAAAGGGTTTGATTCTATTAATGTTGTCTTTTTTATTGCACTTTGGCAGCAGATTCCTGAGTAGCTTCAGATCTGAGTTGTCTTATTAGTAAGCCTAATTTATACTTTTGTAGCAACACTATTTTTATATAATGGCAAAGAAAGGGTTCAGAGTCTTTTCTTTTTTCCTGTGTCATATGTGGCAGCACTGTTCAATGTTTCTTGAAAACATGACCCACTGTAGTGACGTGTGAATAAACTCCAACTCTGTATCAACAACACTGTTGTGTAACTTCAGTTAAATACTTGTATGTGTGTAGATTAGAAAGAGGTAAGATAAAGGATCTGCAGTATTTTATGAAGTATTAATCGTACAAACGTCAGTTTTATACAAGTAGAAGTGTGTATTTACCTGGTAGTAGGCTGTCAGTAATGTCTACGCCTCTCTATTTGGACTGGTAGATCTCGGCAGACTGGCAACTTTAAAAGTAGCTCTCGGTTCAAAAAAGGTTGGGCACCCCTGCCTTAGACCTTAGGTTTCCCCAATCACTGTAGCTAGATCTAAGTTGAATGCAACTCAAGACATGCTCTCACCTTCCCCCATCTTCCTTTGTCCTCAAAAACACATGTCAACAGGCCCCAAATCCAGCTCACAGTTTTACCCAAATTATTCCCATTTTAAGCTTATCCATAGTTTGCTAACATGAATAAATACAAATATTTCACTACACCCCCCAACACAAATAGTCAGGCTCAGTGGCGGCGCCAGAGATTTATTTTGGGGTGCTGTGGGGTAGCTTGACGTTTCATAGAGGGTGCTCAAACATTTAGGGTTTACCATTAATGTACCGGTCGCTACAGAGGAATGTTCTACTGCAACACTCCCCACGCAAATACACGGTGTGACTGTTACAATGAAGGCTCGATATCAGCTCACGGCATATAGGTGTAAGCAGGGGTCGAGTGCTATTTTTATAGGTGGTGTGTGGACCTCACATAGGGGGGTCCTCACCTCCTCTAGGGGGGTCCGGGGGCAAGCTCCCCAGGGAAGATTTATTTCTAAATATTGAAGTTAAAAGCATCAATCTGCTGCACTTTGAGAGCAACATGAAGAGATCTATGGATACATCTCTCAACACATATGAAACAGAACTGGAAACAGATTTACTTTTTCTTTATGGATATTTTACAAATCACTCCCTTTTAAACTTTATTCTTGTTTTACTGTCATATAGTATTTCATACCTGTTTTTAATGTATTCTCTTATTTTTTTATAACTATAATGATCATATAAACGTGAGCCTCGGAAATAATTGTTTACATTAATGGTGACCAAACCATTTGAGACCCACTGAGATAACACTGAGAGTCCTTGAGCTCACTGAGCCTCTCAGTCTGACAGGAGAGGACTCTCCTCCACCTTGTTGTTGAAAAAACTCCTTATATCTGTTAGCGTAGCTCGCTAGCACCAGAAGCTAACAACAACAAGCTCCGGTACCGGTGCGCTCTCTCTCTCTCTCTCTCGCAGACGCACACAAAATGGCTCGTTACACACACACACACACACACACACACACACACACACACACACACACACACACACACACACACACACACACACACACACACACACACACACACACACACACACACACACACACACACACACACACACACACACACACACACACACACACACACACACACACACACACACACAGAGCCGAGCTTTAATGAAACACAGAGACCCAGACGTAATAGTACTGTATCATATTATTTTTAAATCAATAATCTTTCAAATTATGATTATTATTATTTTTTTTTTAATCTTCTTTTTTTTTTTTTTAATAACCATTTTTCCTCCTGGTCTCTCGCGCCCTCCACTTTGGGAACAACTGACATATAAGATCATTTCAAACATTTTGAAAGACTTTTCTACACATCGTAAACCTACTGAAGTCCCTTTTAAGAAGATGACCTTTATATGTGTGTATTTTAATGTGCTGCCCCCTGTGGTGCCAGGTGTCGTGTCGGGGAGAACTGGTGGTACCGTGGTCAGCACTGCGAGGAGTTCGTCTCCGAGCCGCTGGTCGTCGGCATCGCCATGGCGTCGGTGTCCGGCCTCCTATTGGTGGCTGGAGGCATCGTCTACTTCCTGTCCAGAACGCTGAGGGAGCGCTACGACGCAGAGGACAGCGAGGACCCAATCAGGTGAGACCTCTGACATCACTTCCTGTTGACAGTCTGAGGGCATCACTTCCTGTTGACAGTCTGAGGGCATCACTTCCTGTTGACAGTCTGCTGAGTAACGTTGTTTCCTGCAGGTTGGGCATCCCGTCTCTGGAGCGTAGTGCTAAGCTAACCGCGGCGCCGGACAGCGGACCGGTGGCGGCTCAGTTCTACCGGCGCTACGATGACGAGGCGCCACTCAGAACCGGGTCCAGAGACCAGAACCAGGAGAACATAGACCAGGAGAACAGCTCTCTGAGCAAAGAGGTACGACTCATAATGTTGAGTCCTGTCAGGGGTTCAGGGCTGAAAAAGTGGTTCCACATACATTAGTAAACTACAGGAAACTGCGGCCATGTTTGTAGTCCTAACCCTCCGACCTCTGTGCTGAGTCATTGTTAATAGACTACAGGACACTGCGGCCATGTTTGTAGTCCTAACCGCTGACCTGTGACCCTGCAGGAGATCCAGGAGCGTCTGAGGATCGTCGAGCTCTGCTCCAGAGATCAGCACTTCGCCGACTTCATGAGACAAACTCAAGTGTGAGTGTTTTCTATTTAAAAAGAGATCTTTTAAAATACATTTATAAAGATGTAATAACTCTGCCTTTACGGTACGTCCACACAGCAGCTTTAGACGAATCTTCCACCGCTTCCAACGCTTCTCTACCCATTGACTTTGAATGGGGATGACGTCACTTTGCCTCGCTTTTCGCCGAACTGCATTGTGGGGAAGCGAAGCGAAGATTTCCAGGATTTTCAGGATTCAAAAGTTGAGCAATGTTCAACTTTTGAAGCTGAGCTGGAAGCGTCAGCCAATCAAATCCCGTTTATGCAAATCTGACAGTAGAAGCGCGAGCCAATCAAACCGCGTGTAAGCAGGGAGAACCAGACCGCAGTTCATTTCCTCATATTCCAAACGAGAAATTACGGTAGCAAATCACCCGGTTCTTTACGACCAGACTATTAACGGGATACAAACCGGAGGAACCAGGCATGGAGGGAGGAGGCAGAGACAGTGGAGGAACCAGGCATGGAGGGAGGAGGCAGAGACAGTGGAGGAACCAGGCATGGAGGGAGGTGGCAGAGACAGTGGAGGAACCAGTCATGGAGGGAGGTGGCAGAGACAGTGGAGGAACCAGGCATGGAGGGAGGAGGCAGAGACAGTGGAGGAACCAGGCATGGAGGGAGGAGGCAGAGACAGTGGAGGAACCAGGCATGGAGGGAGGAGGCAGAGACAGTGGAGGAACCAGGCATGGAGGGAGGAGGCAGAGACAGTGGAGGAAACTGGTAGGTTTTCGCCTGTTTGGGGAGTTTATATTTATATATATTGCTCGCATAAAATCCCCGGGGTTTTTTTGCTTTGTATGTCGGGGGCGGGAGATTCATGTCGGTCGCGTTGCTCGCAAAAAATCCCCAAGCTGTCAGACACGCCCAGCTCCAAGATTTTCAAGATTTTTGAAAAGCTGCTGTGTGGACGTACCGTCAGATATATTATATAAAACATATTTATATTCATTCCGTTTTTCATCAGAAACTGACCTCAGGATTTACGCAGAATTATCTCCTCATGTTTAACAAGTACACACACACACACACACACACACACACACACACACACACACACACACACACACACACACACACACACACACACACACACACACACACACACACACACACACACACACACACACACACACACACACACACACACACACACACACACACACACACACACACACACACACACCAGTGTGTGAGTGTGAGTGTGGTCGCTGTGTTTTCTGTCAGAAACTGAGTCTGTGTTTTGTGGTCAAACAGATTCCTGGAGAAGAGAGGAAGCTCTTCCACATAGACCTCCAGGTAAACGCTCTTATTCTGGAAGGACATATCTACACGCTCTTATTTTGAAAGGACATATCTACACGCTCTTATTTTGAAAGGACATATCTACACGCTCTTATTCTGAAAGGACATATCTACATGCTGTTATTCTGAAAGGGCATATATACATTACATTACATCACATTTAGCTGACGCTTTTATCCAGAGCGACCAACAAAATACAACCTTGAAGAAACAGAATCATAAAGTACATCAGGTTTCATAGAGCCAAACATTTCAAGTGCTACTCAACTGGCTTTAGATAAGCCAGTCCTTTATTAGTATATAAGTGCTTTGTTAATAGTTCTATCGCTCGAAGTGGAGTCGAAAGAGATGAGTTAGTATCATCCTGATGTTGTAAAGCGTGTATCTGCAGCAACGGGTTGTAGCAGCGATGTTTGCAGTGAAGGACAAGTTGTTATCGAGGGTCACACCCAGATTCCTTGCAGTCTGAGTCGGGGAAACAACTGAGGTGCCGATGTTGATTGTTAGGTCAAGAGTGGGACAATCTTTTCCCGGAAGGAAATGCAGCTCAGTCTTGTCAAGGTTGAGCTCGAGGTGATGAGCAGACATCCACTGAGAGATGTCAGCTAGACAAGCAGAGATGCGTGCGACGACCTGGGTCTCTGAGCGGGGAAAGGACAGAATTAATTGGGTGTCGTCAGCGTAGCAGTGGTAATGAAAAACCATGCGGGCTAATGACTGATCCGAGCGAGTTTGTGTACAGGGAGAAGAGGAGGGGACCAAGAACAGAGCCCTGAGGGACCCTGAGGGTCAATAACGTAACCAGATGAGTGATTACAGCGCCCGGTAACATTTTACACACATTTGTATCATACAGATGCAGGACTTGTACACGCCTGTTATCTAAGCAACAGGTCCACACGCACTCTCCATCTGAAACTCTCTCGTCTTATTAATTTAAGCATTTTCTTATTAATTTATGCCAACCTCCCCCCACCAATGCAATACCAGCCGCTCAATGCGCAGTGCAGATTCGGTAATTAATAAATAAGAAGCATTCATTCACAAACTAAATCAGGAGACCTTTAAAGTTTTACGTTCACATCAAAGTATCAGTATGTGTTGTGTTGATAATGGACGAGACCCGCCGAGTCAGCGTAAAGTTGAGACGATCTCTGTTTAATGTCTGAATCTGATAACAGATAAATTGATCAGTTTTACATACATTTCCCTCAGTGACTCCTCTCATTGCTTGGAACGTTTACAAAAAGGGAAGAGGAAACGTGAGGGACACAATATATACAAAAAGTAAAATCACAAAGAAAGGAAATGAAAGTCCTCACAACAATAAACTCCTGAGCACAGCTCTCCGACCTTGCCAGGTATTTAACATTCAATAAAATGAAGAACACAGAATAAAATAATATAAAACACAGAATGTGTGTGATTATACAAAATTAAATTAAATAAACCCCACTGCATATTTACATCTGTTACACTAACACACATGGCAAGTGCAGCAACAGTCCTCGTCTCTGTAATTAGTTCAGTCCGTTGTCCAAAAGTAACACAAAAATATAAACAATCTCATCTATTCAGGTGATCGGGCCCTATATGGCATGCTATCTGCGGTGCTGATTTTCGGATAGCAGCACCCTGTGCTAATTAAACAACTGCAATAAAACAACTACTTCAGACTGAACACCTGCAGCTAAATCTAGGCAAGCAATGCACAATAACCAACAGAACCACATCAGAAATTGCACACAGCTACACGGGCAGTTCAGGCAACAGGTATGCACAGAGAGAAAGGGGTGTGCATTTCACTCACCCCATTTGAAGAGGAAGGCCATTCTCCTGTCTTTCATGGTAGCGAAGTGGTCAATAACAATGTCATAGAACTTCCCAGCGGCCTTTAGGTCCTCCACAACAACAGAGTCAATGGATATTGTGGCTAGGTTGACAAGTCTGTCCTGTCCACACGTGTTCCTCAGATACGTTTTGATCCTTTTTAGACAGGAAAAGGAGCGCTCTGCTGATGTGCTGGTGGCTGGTATCGTGAGCATGAGCTGGAGCAGCTTGTAGACCTCGGAGAGTGTGCCCTGTAGGTCATCCTCAATAAGAAGCTGTATCAGCTCTCCTGGTGGCTTGTGAAACAACCTGTTGTTGTACAGCGTGTGCAGCTCATTCCTTAACTTCTGCTCATCAAAGAATGGATACGTGTTGATCAGCTGAGCCAGCTCACTGCTGGGAAATGCATCAGGGTTGCAGAACGATGTGAATGATGTGTGTTCCAGTATCCGAAAAAAGTGCAGGTGCTCCATATCTGCAAATCTTTGGGTCATGTGCAACACTATGCCGTCAACAATCTGGAAGTAAAGACGCCGGAAAGACACAACCGTTTCCTCGTCTCCTTCTTGGTGCTGGTTAAACCCTTGCTCCAGGTCGTCCCAGCCGCGGCGACGTCGTTTACGTCGGGGCACAGGATCTCCGACTGCTTTGACCGTGTCATCGTAAATGCGACTGAATGTCTCATCTGTTCTTGTGGCTTTGAGAGCGCTGAGAGTGCTCATGATCCGATCCTGGCATTTTTTGATGTCCGCCGTCTTGCTTTGCAGAACCTGGAAGAGTGGTTCTGTGAGGCCGAAAATGGACTGAAAGACTCCGAGCAGGAAGGTGAAGTCAAAATCCTCAAGTTTTTGCTTCAAGGGAGCACTCTGTGCAATGGTCTCTTTGTCCCATCCCGGCTCTGTCATTATCCTGTCAAAAGCGATACAGAGCGACCCGCGTCCTTCATGGATGGCGTGTACTGCGCGGCTTTTAAAATTCCACCTCACAGCAGAACCCCCTGGTACACGCACAGCTCGATCAACTTCAGACAGTAGTGCTGATCTCTTACATGAACGTGAGAAAAAATTGTGGAAGGCATCGAGATTGGCAAAAAACAGTTTGGCTGCTTGGATGTTGTTTGTGCCTTGTGCTAAAACCAAATTTAATTTGTGAGCATAGCAGTGGATGAATAGCGCATTGGGGCAGTGTGCTTTCACTAAAGCCTGAACGCCACCGTGCTGTCCACTCATGCAGCTTGCTCCGTCATAAGTCTGACAAATCAGTTTGTTTGTTGGGCTGTAGTTCCCGATGGCTCTCATGACAACTGATGTTACAGCTTTTGCATCTCTTTCTAAGCTGACATCAAAAAAGCCGAGGAAACGTTCACACACACTGCCTTTTTCATTCACATATCTGATTATGATAGTGAGTTGGCACTTATTGGAGATGTCTGATGTGTCATCCACTTCTACAGCAATGAAAGGAGAAATGTGTATTTCTTTATCAGTCTCATCCTGGATACAACGAGCTATGCTCTCAATTATGTCATTTTGTATGGTGTTTGACATACCGCTGAAGACTGTTGACGATCCCAAGTGCTCCGCGAGTGCAGTGTCAAACTCTGCAAATGCACATACCAGCTCTACAAAATTGCCCCTGTTAGAGCTGCCAGCGGCCTCATTGTGTCCCCTGAATGCTTGCTCTTGACGTGCAAGGTACAGGGCAGCAATGATGAGTTTCCTCAGAATATCCCGGTTCTTTTTTACTTGTTCGTTGTGCTTCTTTGTGCTAATGGTTCTTGCTACATCCAGAGCCTCGTCAATCCTGACGCGTCCAAAAAGCTTTAATTTCACAGCACAATCTATATGATTTATAGATTTACCGTGCCTCTCAATTGCCCGTGACAGGTTGGCAAGATCGATGAATCCTGAAGTTGCCCAAGGATTGTTCAGGGAGCACGAACCCTTGTCAAAAACAAGACATGGCCAGCAAAATAGACGCTGAAGTTTAGCGCTTCCAGTTAGCCACTCCGTGCGGACATAATTGTCCTCATTGAACGTCCGATTAGATCCCTTATTCCTCTGTGTACACAGCTCGAGTGTGGGCATTGTCCTGCCATCTGCTTTAATTTTTAGTTGCTGCTGTAGCGGAAGTTTAGTGAAGTTATGCTTAATTAAGTACGCCAAATCTCCTCCCTCCATAATGCTTCATTTGCTTGATCATTTCTAACGGCGGTGATGACAGTTACAGTATTAAAATTGATGTTGATGTGATTGGATGGCAGTGTCCAATCAAATCGCCAGCCGCCAGCCGCCCCTTCAGCTAGAGGCGGCTGGCTTCCCCTGGCATGGCCCTGACCAATCACAGGTTGGCAGGGGCATCACGTGGGCCTCATCTGATTGGTTAATCCCTCAATTTTTTTTCACCAAGGGAAGCTAGATTCTGCTGGCCTCCTCTCGCAACAGTGAATGCAATCTACTGTTTCACCATGACATCTAGAGGGGCGCTGTTTCACTCTTTGTAAAATACTCAATGAGAATGGGGGAGAGACGGAGAGACGGTCCGGCAGGAACACACAGGAAAGTAGAATTACAGAAACAAAACAAAGTGTTTTTATTTATTTATTTAAATTATAACTACAATCCGAAAAAACAGGGGAAGCCTGGCTTCCCTTGGCCTCCGGGAGAAAACGCCACTGCAGAGGAGAGGGAGGCTGCTTTAGCAGTGTGCAGTTCCTCAGTGACAGCAAGGAGGGCAGTTTCTGTGGAGTGACCTGCCTTGAAACCAGACTGGTGCAGATCCAGAAGGTTGTTCTGATGGAGATAACAGGAGAGTTGTTTAAAGACAGCGCGTTCAAGTGATTTAGACAGGAACGGGAGGAGAGAGACAGGCCTGTAGTTTATAACATCAGACGGGTTGAGAGTGGGTTTCTTTAGGAGAGGGTTTACTCTTGCCTCCTTGAGACTGTTTGGAAAGTGACCAGAAGTTAGAGAAGTGTTGATGAAATGGGTGAGAAACGGTAGAATATCAGGAGCGATAGTCTGAAGGAGGTTTGAAGGGATAGGGTCCAGAGGACAGGTGGTAGGGCGGGCAGAGGTAATGAGGGTGAGAACCTCACTTGGAGAGAGAGGGGAAAAGGAGGTAAGTGTGTTGGTGGAAGGAAGGTCTGGTGACCCAGCGGTGAGTAAAGGTGAGTCAGAAAAAGAAGAGCGAATATCATCAACCTTTTTGTCAAAGTGGTTAACAAAGTCGCTTGACAGAAGGGAGGAGGGGGGAGGGGCTTTGGGGGGGTCCAAGAGGGTGGAGGGGGAATGGGCTTTGGGGGGGTCCAGGAGGGAGGAGGGGGGAAGGGGCTTTGGGGGGGTCCAAGAGGGTGGAGGGGGGAATGGGCTTTGGGGGGGTCCAAGAGGGTGGAGGGGGAATGGGCTTTGGTGGGGTCCAGGAGGGAGGAGGGGGAAGGGGCTTTGGGGGGGTCCAGGAGGGAGGAGGGGGAAGGGACTTTGGGGGGGTCCAGGAGGGAGGAGGGGGAAGGGGCTTTGGGGGGGGTCCAGGAGGGAGGAGGGGGAAGGGGCTTTGGGGGGGGTCCAGGAGGGAGGAGGGGGAAGGGGCTTTGGGGGGGTCCAGGAGGGAGGAGGGGGAAGGGGCTTTGGGGGGGTCCAGGAGGGAGGAGGGGGAAGGGGCTTTGGGGGGGGTCCAGGAGGGAGGAGGGGGAAGGAGCTTTGGGGGGGGTCCAGGAGGGAGGAGGGGGAAGGGGCTTTGGGGGGTCCAGGAGGGAGGAGGGGGGAGGGGCTTTGGGGGGGGTCCAGGAGGGAGGAGGGGGAAGGGGCTTTGGGGGGTCCAGGAGGGAGGAGGGGGAAGGGGCTTTGGGGGGTCCAGGAGGGAGGAGGGGGGAGGGGCTTTGGGGGGGTCCAGGAGGGAGGAGGGGGAAGGGGCTTTGGGGGGGTCCAGGAGGGTGGAGGGGGAAGGGGCTTTGGGGGGGTCCAGGAGGGAGGAGGGGGAAGGGGCTTTGGGGGGGTCCAGGAGGGTGGAGGGGGAAGGGGCTTTGGGGGGGTCCAGGAGGGAGGAGGGGGAAGGGGCTTTGGGGGGGTCCAGGAGGGAGGAGGGGGAAGGGGCTTTGGGAGGGTCCAAGAGGGTGGAGAAGATGGAAAATAGTTTTTTAGGATTGGAATAGGAAGATTGGATCTTATCTTGAAAGAAAGTGCTTTTTGCCTGAGAGATTGAAGCAGAGAAAGAGGAGAGGAGAGCTTGATAGGTTAGGAGGTCGTCACGGTGTTTGGATTTCCACCGTTTCCGCTCTGCTGCCCTAAGGACGGTTCTATTAGCACGCAGTGCATCATTTAGCCAGGGAGCAGGAAGGGGACTGACGAGCCTGCCGAGATGTGAGAGGACAGAGAGAGTCCAGAGTGGATGAGAGAGTAGAGAGGAGAGTTTCTGCAGCAGAGTTTGAAGGCAGGAGTTGGAACGAGTCAGAGGAAGGGAGGGCTGAGAGCACCGACGAGGCAAAGGTAGAGGGGGAGAGGGAGCGAAGGTTACGGCGGACAGGTGCAGGATGAGAAGAGATTAGTTTGTTATGTTTGGAAAGGGATAGAGAGAATGAAATGAAGAAGTGATCGGATGTGTGGAGCGGGTTTACAGAGAGGTTAGAAGTAGCGCAGTTCCTTGAGAATATGAGATCAAGGACATTGCCAGCTTTATGAGTCGGTGGGGACGGAGACAGTGAGAAAGCAAAGGCAGTTAACAGAGATGTTAGTTCGTCTATCTTCCCTGTCTGGAGGTTGAAGTCTCCGAGAAGTACAGCGGGAGGACCAGTTTCAGGGATGAGTGAGAGGAGATGATCTAATTCCTCCAAGAAGTCCCCCAAGGCGCCTGGTGGACGGTAGAGAACAACAATGGTTAGCTGTATAGGATGGGTTACTGTGACGGCATGGAATTCAAAGGTGGAAGGAGTGAAGTTAGGTAGCTTGAAGAGGGAAAAACTCCATTTGGGAGAGAGCAGGAGACCAGTGCCACCTCCTCTGCCAGTTGGTCTGGGTGTATGGGAGAAGGAATATGCTGTGGAGAGATACATGCTCTTATTCTGAAAGGACATATCTACATGCTCTTATTCTGAAAGGACATATCTACATGCTCTTATTCTGAAAGGACATATCTACATGCTCTTACTTTGAAAGGACATATCTACATGATCTTATTCTGAAAGGACATATCTACATGCTCTTATTCTGAAAGGACATATCTACATGCTCTTATTCTGAAAGGGACACATATGTAAATACAAACGCTCTTACTTCGAAAGTTAATGGAATTTTTTGATAAATGACCTGTATGTATTTCCCATGATGCTTTGCAGCCCCCTTCATTAACCCCGTGTTGTTTCTCCGCAGAAAGCCGCCTTCGTTCTGATTGGAGGATCTCGCTGCTCCCCTGGAGGTGACACTGAAACACTTTGGGATTTTATTTTGAAAGGACTCTTTGTGGACCTGAATTCTGACCTCTGATTAGTCGCCTGTCACTTCCTGTTCACTCTGTGTTTATAACCTTCAGTCACTGCTGCTCTTACTCTTATTTACAAACTGCTTTCTGTACTCTTCCTAAAGACTTTATTCTGAAACTTCACTGTTGTTTCTACTTCCTGTTTTCATGTATCATCGGAGAAACCTTTATATATACAGTCTATGGGAGAAACACGTTAACATGTCGTTAGCTTCACGTTAGCTTGTTTTGCTCGGTGCGGCTTCCGTCAGTGCCTTCACGCTCCGTTAGCGTCCGTTAGCGTTAGAATCCGTTAGCGTTAGCTCGGGCTCTCAGAGTTGTGATGTTGGGTTGCAGTCGAATAGTCCAAAAATCAGCTCCTAAGTTCCATACATGCCAACCTTTCCAAATCCAAAAGAGGTAGGTTTGCGCGCGGCAAATGTGCATGCCCAAATGTGCACGCCCAAATGAGGTAATCAGAAGAAATGGAACCCAGTAATTACATGTATAAACTGCATTTAACATATTGCATCATTTTATGCATTTTTCAGAAAAAGTGGTAGTTTGGTAAACAGTGACATCAACGACATGTTTGTAAAAGAATGGGAGATAAATATCCCAAAGTCTCCACATGTTGTGCTTCTGGTCCTCTTCCAGTTGAGACAGATGAAGGATGTGTCAGGACGTAGAACTCCTGTGTGAACATTGGATAAAGCCAGGTTCATGTTCTTGTTTCATGTTGTTGACATATTAGAGTCAAAGGTTTGCACAGAGCGAAATATCTTTGTGTTGCGCCATTAATCAGAAAATACTGCATTAAAAAAGTCATTTCCTGCATTTGTCTACTGATAAAGTGTGATATAGATAATGTACAGGCTTTCAGATTAACAGAGACATTAACGACATGTTGGAGTTGAAAATATCAGAAAAAGTGAAAGAATGGGAAATAAATGTCCCCTAATCTCAAAATAGGGTTATATATTGTGTGTGTATGTGTGTGTGTGTGTATGTGTGTGTGTGTGTGTTTGTGGTCCTCTTACAGTTGAGACACTGTAGGTGAAGGATGCTTCAGGGAAAGACCAAACACTGGATGTCTTTCAGTCGCCAACCTGTGTTTTCGAGACACTGATATTAACGTGGAAAACCCTGCAGGACTCATTTGGGAGTGATTACCCATCAGCCCCGGGGGTAACGCTGCCTTTCCTCTGCACGATGTTTCTCTCTCAGAAACACAGAGGACTGTTAGTATGATGCGATCACAGACACGCTGCAAAGTGGAGTCCAGTGTCCTTGGAGTGTCCTTGGAGTGTCTTTGGAGTGTCCTTGTTATTTGCTATAGTTTGGGAGGATTGAAAGTCGGTAGGGAAAGCCAGCTGAATCGGTGGGCGGTAGAAACATGTCAAAAGCGGTAGGGTTGGCAGGTATGAAGTTCTAACGCTATCGTCTATCCCTTGACCTCTGAGTGAAAGGTCACGGGGTTAAGGGATAGTGGATAGGAGACTTCAAAAGGACTTAGGAGAAGAGACTGCACTTTCACTATCGACGTGTTTATGATGCGCCAGCGGACGTCCTGAATGTGTGTCTGCTGCTGTGGGGAAACTATGGAAACTACAGTTTCCATAGAGGCGAAGCCCCTCCCCTTCCGGGGAGCTCCATGGACCTTATTTAAAAAAAATGATGTATTGAAGTCAATGGAGAGAGAAAGATTATCTTTCCATCCCGTTTGTGCCACGAATTACACATTTGATGTTTGTCAATTTAAAAGATCATTCTTCAAGTAAAAAAAAAGAAAGTGTGGTAAAACTGTGAAGTTACACTTTGTGTGAAACGCTGAACGAACTACATCTCTGCTCTCTCAGAGCAACACACGTCACTAAGATGGCCGTCACTACTGTCAACAAAGGGATTGACTTCCCTCACTATCACCCTCCTCA